CTCATTTCCCGTCCTTGTTCCATCAAATAGGATGACCCAGCAACAACTCAGTCTATGCTTGTTAACCAGTCACTTCGATACACTATAACCTTGTTCAAGTAAAGCAAATATCCCTGAATAATTCATGAGTGATAACAGTAGTATATTGTCAGATAATCTGTGTCCTCTTACCTCCTCATAATGACTCACTGGAGATAATTCATCTGGACAAGACAGATGAAGAGGTCTCATCTGATGACCAGGTAAGGTTGCCTTTCTCTTTCTGAGGTACAATTGTTGCTTTCCTGGGGTCTTCCTTTTTCAGTGGAATTCAGGTATGAAATTCTAACCATGTAAATTACAGATGATATACACAATTTCCTTGGTGAAGTATGTGTGGAGTGAGACTCTCTTATCAACTGTTAGCTAATTGAAGAGGTCATTCACAAGTGGCAGCATGAGGTCATTCACTGTATGGTAGGGGGCCTTTCCTCAGCAGTGACTTTTTCTTGGATTAGGAATTTTGCAATTGCCAAACAAAGTGGATATGAGAGATAAGACCTTAAGGAAAATGTCATGTCTTTTCCACAGGTGTGCTCTGTGCTTGCCTTAGTGGCCTTAAACTCACCCACGTTTTCTAATCTGCTTTTCTAAAATCACCCAGAGAGTAAGAGTTCTGTTTAAACACTACACAACATGATCTGATTCTCATATTGTCTTCTTTAATTTCAGATGGCCTCAAGTACAAACAAAAATGGGATGTATTCTGGAATCAGTCAATTTCTGAGGAAATACATAGATAAGAGTTGGAGCTTTTTTGCGGACTTTTATCTGAAGAGTCACCCTGATTTCTTAAGCTTTCTGGTAAGAATAAGGATTGGGGGTGGGGTTGAAGAAAGTGATTTTCCAGGTATAGGACCATGGGCATGTTTCTAAAAGCAGCTGTGTTCCCTATAGATGTTGTAGTTTGTGTGCATGGGGATGAAGTGTATCTCCATGTGAATCTACATGGTGTGATTCTCAGTGTACAGGTGTTTGTGTGTTTCCCTAGGTTTATGTACCCCTAAATAGAAAACTACTAATGTAGACTTTCTCAATCAAAATGTCCATCCCAATATATATGAGTATATATTATTTTCAAATTTATCAAATTCTATTGTTCCAATATGGGCAGTTTATTGTACGTGAGCAATACTTCAATAAATGCAGAGAGACATGGGGACCTCATACCACCAAGAAAGCAGTGCTGGGAGGAGAGCAGGTCCTTTGGGCCTGAGGTTCCTAAGCTGAGATGCTCCCAGACCAGGGGAAGACTGATGCATCACAAGGACCTTCCTCCAGAGCCCACAGAGAGAGGAAGCCTTCCACTCGAGCCGGCGCCCTGAATTCGGACTTCTAGCCTACTGGACTGTGAGAGAATAAATTTCTCTTTGTTAAAGCCATCCACTTGTGGTTTTTCTGTTATAGCAGCTCTAGATTACTAAGACAAAGTGGAATCGTAATATGTGGTGGAGTAAGGCTTGCTATGGCTTCTAGAGTGATGCACGAAGAGCTGGATCACAGGAGGGACAGTCTTCAGCACCAGATGCCACCATAAAGAAGATCCTGTTATCGCCATATGGGCTGTCTGCTGAGCAGCTGCTGCTCTCCACCTGCTCCTGGAAAAAGGGATGCAGGATGCTGCTGCCAGCTGAGGCCACATGCCCAGATATCCGTGTTCAACATCCAAATGGAATTCTAGGAGTTGACTGGGAGTGTCCAGGACTCCTCTCCCTTCTGTATCACTGTCACTTGGACATCCTTTGCTTTCTGAAAGTGTGACTGGGGCAGGTGAAGGTATCCAGATGGTTCTAGTTGTTGATTGTCTCTAAATTTTCCCATTTTTGTGACAACTATATAATTTGTAACTCTCCCCTGAAACATCCATAATAAGTAAATGTATTTCATTGACAAATTATTTATTACAAGAAATAGAATTAACTTACCCATTTTTACCTTTTTGTTGATGTTGTTAGGTTACATCAAGTTGGTTCTGACTCAAAGCGACCCTGTGTACTACAGAACAAAACACTGCTAGGTCCTGTGCCATGCTCACAATCGTTGTTATGCTTGTGCCCATTGCTGCAGCCACTGTGTCAACCCATCTCATTGAGGGTCTTCATCTTTTTTGCTGACCCTGTACTTTACCAAGCATGATGTCCTTCTCCAGGGACTGATCCCTCCTTACAACATGTCCAAAGTATGTAAGATGTAGTCTCGCAATCCTTGCTTCTAAGGAGCACTCTGGTTGTACTTCTTCCAAGACAGATTTGTTCATTTTTTTGTTAGTCCATGGTATTTTCAGTATTCTTCACCAACACCACAATTCAAAGGCATCAATTCTTCATCAGTCTTCCTTATTCATTGTCCAGTTTTCACATGTATATGATACGATTGAAAATACTGTGGCTTGCGTCAGGGGCACCTTAGTCTTCAAGGTGACATCTTTGCTCTTCAACACTTTAAAGAGGTCTTTTGCAGTAGATATGCCCGATGCAGTGTGTCTTTTAATTTCTTGACTGCTGCTTCCATGGGTGTTGAGCGTGGATCCAAGTAAAATGAAATCCTTGACAACTTCAGTCTTTTCTCCCTTTATCATGATGTTGTTTATTGGTCCAGTTGTGAGGATTTTTGTTTTCTTTATGTTGAGGTGTAATCTATACTGAAGGCTGTGGTCTTTGATCTTCATCAGTAAGTGCTTT